GTATGAACGTATTTCTGGCTTCTTATTTTTTAGTTCTTTTTTATTTTACTCAGTTCTCCATTGTCTTGGTTTGATGAAATTTTAGCCTCTAATCTTTAGTATAAGGATTTGTATAGAGCTAAAAATGGCTTTCTTATTTCTCATGAAGTCATTTCTATGGATGTATTATTGCTTTGTCCTTTTACTTCCGCAGTTGAAATGTTTTGTGATAGGAATAGAAGATTGTTGAATCAATTAATGAAAGATATGTTCAAATGGTTTTAGGACAGGGGAAGAAAATGCCTTTCATACCATAAATTGCAGAAGAAAGAAATAAAAATGTTCTGATACACCACTGAAGCAAATCACTACTGAAAATGAAACATGATTCTAAATACTAAACACGATTTTACAAACGAATAAAATTAATCACGACTCCTAATTCTTGAGACTTTGGATCCCCAAGGGAAAATGCATAGGCATGAGACAATGGTAGGATTCAGTACTAGATAGTCGTTGTACTTACTCATAAAAATAGCTGATAAATAGATTTTTCTTGTTAAATCCAATGTTCCATGGCAACTAAAGGTTTTGATCATTTTTCACAAGAATCTTTATTAGTGAATTTTTTGGTCTTCCATTTTTACATTGGTAATAATTAGTTGTTAAGGTTATTATGTTATACATTATAGTTTGATTTTGAGCTCATTCCTTTTTATTAGTTACTTTGCTGCAATTGGCACTAGGCACTTGTTAAAAACATATTCTTGTGAAAGTTACTTTGGCATCTTTTATAGGGTCTATGAGGTAATTTACTTTTTGTTTTGTTTTAAAGGGGGTTGATTTTTTATGATTACATCTGTTGTACATTAGTGCACCATTTTCTGGAACTTTATAGTATAATCCTATAACAGACAAAGGTGAAATAACCCTATGTTTGTGAAATAACCTTTTTTAGAAAAATTTAGAAAAAAGCTGGAAAAGATACCTGATAATGTTGTCAATATTGGTTCTCACACTCAGAATGATATTCGTAAAGAAAAGGTAGTGTTGTTTGGATAAATTCTTGGTCACTATTTTGTTGTTTGGATAAATTCTTGGTATTATGTTTTTAGATAATCGAAATAAAAAGGGTATTTCTGATTTT